ATTTTACTGCAATTAGACGCTTAGTAAAGGCTTTGAACTGATCACTTTACTGAAATTAGACGCTTGGTAGAGGCTTAGATCTTACTACCTCGCTGCAACTACAAGCTTAAGCCTACTACTTACTACTTTAATGCCTTACCCCTTACTTGATTACAAGTACAGCAAGTTTCTTTGTATTTATATATCCTCAACAATTATAAGAAATGATTTTCGGAGTCCTGGTTCGGGCCTATAGTCATTGGCTCTGGGGCTGGAACTGCCGTCTTCGCTGACCAGAAAACTCAGATCGAGACATGGTCCCGGAAGCATCGATTCCTTTTCAATCCCGCTCTTCAAGGAAGCCCTTACGGCTGGTCTCCGGAGCAGCTTCCTCCGGACTTATAAATTCCCCCACAACTGTAGGAAATTATTTGCAGACATGCACGTGTACTCGTCATTGCCATGATGAGCTTACCCAAACACTCCTTGAAAAACGAAGCCTCGTACCACGAGCCTGGATTGTTCAAACGGTTGGCAATCTCCTTGATCATCCGGTGTTTCCTTTCATGAGTGAAACATGAAGCCAGTGTCCCCTTCGCAACAGGCATCATCGGCAGGCGCGTCGAATAGTGGAACTTGTTGAGGGCATGAACCCCTGGCAGTGCTGGACAATGAGCTTTTGCAGCTCTGCTGGGATAAACGCCTTGCCTCGGTTCCTTTCCATGAGCATGTCAAACACAGACACAAGTTCAGAAAGGATTTGCAAGCTTTCCAGCTCAGCACATAAGCTCTCAGTAAGGGATAAGCATTCAAACATTGGGAAGCACGGCCCTTGAGAAGCACTGAAGGGTGTTTTTGATGATCCCCTGGCGTTCAGGCCAGGTGAAGGACTTCATGAAATTCGAGATGGCCCCTGGTGAGCAACTTGCACTGTATAACTTTGGCAGCAACACGCCAGCTTCTAAATGAAAGAGTGCATGAAATCATACATACGTGCTTGCACCATGTAGACGCTTTTCTTTACGATCACACCGTTCGTGTGAAAATTGATGCCACAAGCTTTCTGCATCTGGTCGAATTGGGCCTGCGAGCATCGTCCATGCCGAGCTTCCATATGTGCATGTGCCTGATATATGTCGTCGTCCTCCTCATGCCCAGGCCGCATCTAAGGCTCAGGTGGCACCCGGCCAGGTTCAAGAGGCGATTTCGTCCTCTTGACAGCCGGCGGTGAAAAGGAAAAAGAAGGCAAACAATGCCCGATTTCTGCAATTGGTTGAAATCAAGGGGGCTTGCCTTTGACATGGCAGCCGACACAGTGCAGGTGGTTCCCTGAAAACAGTGTTTGCACTGCCCGAGAGCAAACTGCCCTGCCTGGCGAGTTCATGATTGTGTTGCTGATATGCACATATATAGATATAGGTATAGATACAGATATAGAGATATAGAGATATAGAGGTATAGAGATATAGAGATAGAGATATGTATACATATATATATATATATGGGTTTATGGCTTTATGTGTCTATGCTTTATAAGGATGTTTTTTGATAAGGGTGTAGATGTATTCGAAACGAATTCCAAACTTCCATGGTTCTTGAAACCGACGACTCACTTTTGAATTGTACAGCCGAGAGACCGGTGAAGAAATTAGATTCATCCAGCTTTGTTCTCAGAAGCACAAGTACGTGATTCTTCCTTTCGCAAACGTGCACTTTCAATAACGAACACATTTCAGCAAAGACCTCCACGTTCAACTTAGCTCGCTTGCACATCCTCCACAAGTGCGACTTAGCTAACCCCGAACTAACCGCGCTATGTTATTGTTAGTGAGTATGTTCTCTAAGTATATACTAACAAGCCCGCCCTGTCAAGTACAGCTTTCGCATCGTCGTGTTCAGCATCCTTTAGAGACGTGTGGCGGGAGCGATTGCGAAATTTGTGGATTTTTCGATCGCCTGTGTGCGGCAGCTGTTACGACGGACAGGCGTCTTGAAGTCGCGTTGAATCTTTCTTTTCAATGTGGAGCTCCAAAACCTTCTGCCATAATGCATCGAAATATCTCCACCCCCGCAAAACGGTGGACAAGATCTATGCCGAAAAGCGGCGAACATAGCATCCCCAACCTTTCCCCCTCATACAGGTATGGCTTCTGCACCCTTAACTGACTATAGCAACTAGTCGTTAACGCATCTAGCACATACTGTCGTCACTCATGCTTCGGTACGAACACAAGCACCATTCAGCAGCTTCAGTACAAGGTTTACAATTCATCTGATCGCTGCCCGCGTGCTTTGCTAGTTATTTGAGACGTCACACACAGATCTATGGCTCAACAAGTTCTTGAACCAGTGTCGTCATGGAGGTGCGGCACATCCGCCTCTCGGCAGCCGCGTTTTTAAATGAAGCCAGGGCGGGGGGTGCTGTAAGAACTCGCCGAACAATAAAGGCCTTTGCTACAAAGAGGAATGCGGCGAGAGAGCTCGCGGCTCAGACAACGGGGGAGCAGGGGGGCAGATGAGCTGCGTCAAGCTAGTGAGTCAGCCCCCAAACCCAGCCCAAAATAGCCCAGCATTCGCGGCACTCTTCGCGGCATTGCGAAGGCCAAGTCCACCGTGGCGCAAGCACAGGTACGCACGCGCGGCTGCAGGTTGCAGCAGGGGGGTCAGCGAGCGTTATGGGGAACAAGTTGAAGCAGCTGAACGAGTCGCGCAAGTTGCGTAGGTCACTGCAGTGACCAAAGAAGGGGGAGCAACTCGAACAAAACACGGTGCCAACGGAGACCCGGAGAGGTGCAGAAGCTGCAGCCAGATAGTCATCCGAGGGGGCGTTACAAAAACGCATCGTTGGATATCGTTGGTTCCTTCTCACCTTGACCAAGCATTCGGATTGTGTCGAGCCACTTGTTTCCGCTTGCACTGGGCCGTCCGACCCGTGGTTACGGCTCGATAGTATCTGGCCGGTCTCGCCGGGTCAAGTGGCAACCTGTTTCGACATCAGTTCGAACACAAGCCGCGACTTGAAACGCATGCTACGAGTACGAATTGTGATTGCTCTGTCCTGAAATGAGGTGAATGGACCGTGACATTGCCAGGAGCTGTGTGATGAGGCTCACGCGTGCTGTCGTAGAGTCAGGACAGTCACACACGGCGGATCACGGCGGCTGTTGCACACAGGAACGATCGCTCACCCCACTTGCCGTTCCCTCTGGAATCACTGGAAAAACGTTTGGTGGTGCCCGGAGACCAAAACTACGGCCTGTCACGCGGGTCTAGCGCTCGACACGTGCCGATCACTGGACAAGGTCCGACTGGGGCTGCCGAAAGCTGCAATTCAAACGACTAGCAGCGATGAGCACAACACTATCTGCGGGAAATTGTGCACCGCAACTCACAAATTCCTCGCGGCAAGATTGTCTGAACGATGTCGCCTACTTTCATCATCAAACTAAGTATTGACTGGAGCTGAACCATTCATCGACCAGAATGGTGCAGAAGAGTGTAAGGTAGCCCTTCTCCCCGCCACTCCCCCTGGTCTGCGACGTCCGCCTTTCCCATCCCAATCTCCCAATACCCTGGACTCGGCAGAGTATCTTCCAGAAACCGGCAGAGTATCTGTGGAGTGCCCACCAAGAAATTTGCCACAAAGCACTCTTGGCCCCCGAGCCGAGCCTCTTTGGTCCAAGAGCCAGCTTGCACCGTTTCCCACCATTAGCTTTCCTTTATGGTGGATGTTCGAAGAAAAAGATTATGTTTGCGATGCACGCCGCTGAAGGGAGAGTTCCAGGTTTCAAGCCCAAAACCGCTAGCCGCGTCATCACTGGAAGGCCGGACTCGACACACCGTGCTGCACTCCAGCACCAAATCGTACCAAGACGCTTCAAGATCTTCAAGGAGCTGGCCAAAGCACGCCCCTTTCCAACTCCTAAAATCTCCTAAGCTCCATCGAGCGCCACTGGCCTGGACAACCAAAGCTATCAATCTGGCAATATGCAGCTGGCAGCCAGTGACACGAGATGGCTTGAAGCTGGGTCTCCGAGTGTTGCTGTTTGTTGTGACAGCTCGAACCCTGGAGTGTGGGCACGGCATGGCACGGCGTTGCTTTTGGCACCATGCAGCTCCCCATCTGTGCATGCGCGGAAAACTCGAACATGTGTGGCTTCCGATTCATCGGGCCGACATGAACGAGAGTAACATTAATTAGGAGCCGTCGCTGCGATGTGAATGCACTATGTGCAAAGACCTGGCTCTAAAGAGTGTGGGCTCTGAATCCTGTCGCGCAGTTGCAGATGCAGCGCATGGAGGCACAGGCTATCATTGGCTGTCGCAATCTGCTATCGTTTCAACACCTCCGTAGCGTCAGCAGGTTCGACGTCGCTTGACCTTGAAAATTGGAAAACATCGGAGAAGAAGAATGAAGAACAATTCCTTCAGCCGCGAAGTTTTGAAGAAATACCATCGGCACAGGCATAGCTCATAGCCATCGCTCTCAGAGCCGAGCGCACTCCGCTCGCCGCCTTAGAGGTGCCAGCTTTTGGAAAGGCATTTCTTTCTTCATGACTATGCCCGACTGAGGTCTGTCGACTTGCTAATTTCTGGTGCTGCCATGCGGGCATTGTGTTGATGAGGCTAGGCCTGATACCGCCTGCGTCTCCGATGAAACCAGCACAGTCGTCGCTGGGCCGACTCCTGACAACGCAATCTTGCCGCTGACCCGATGCAAGTCGTCTCTGAAGAAAGGATCAAGGGGCTGGGCTATTGAGATGATGTATGAAGATGCGTCAGCCAAAGGCTAAAAGCAGATTCTATCCGGAGTAGGGGCTGATATCTGAGACTTTTACCCAATTGTCGTCTCTTGCACTGACGTGACAGACGTACTAATGCACAGGGACAAAAGACATGCCATGAATTCCACGAGTGTTCCGGGATTCTCCAAACTAATTACCGGGGGCCGGAGAATGATTTCGAGGCCACCTTTGGCAGAACGTCGCAAGCTTGCAGGATGCTGCACGCAAGCCACGGTCCTCTTTCTGGAACTCGGAAATTGCTTTGCGCACGCCTGCGCGCAGAACCTGCGAACTTGCGTTTTGCATTCGATCGAGATGCGCGTGCTCTCACACAGCAGTTCTCCTCCTCCGTGCTCAGGTCGAAGGCCACGAGCGAAAAGCTGAGAAGGACGAGATCCTGCAGCTTTAGCATTAGAGTCTCCACGAACTGTTGAAGAAACACATGGATCAACAGTGGGTGTCGCTTCGACATTCGACAAGTGCACCAAACAGCACGGCAGATCGCGTTACATCGACTGCCTCACAGACTCCGAAAGTGTAGTACAGTACTGTACAGTATCAGGCCTCAGACTTGGTCGATTGTGGAGGGGAGGGAGCGTAGGTTGGAGGGCTTCTTTCTGTTAAGGTATTGTGCACGGGGCTAATCGGCTAATCTGAACGATCACTGGATGCCCAGACTCGAAACTGCCACGGCCCCCGACAATCACGTTTCGTGTCATGACTGGAGACCACAAAATTCGACAAAGGCCGCCAACTGAGGGATCAAAGAGGGCCCAGTTCATGATTCCGGCACGGGCAGCTATGAGCAACACTTCTACCGCATTGCAGATTCTATATGTCGTGAATTAGCTGTCCTCTTGGGGATCATTTGTCCAGGCAGTGCCAGCCATTCCACCCCAGCCTCCAACTCCAAGACAAACTACCAGCCCATTGTCGGGAGGCTGCTAAAGTAATCTGCTTCGCTGCTAGGACTGCGAGCGCGTGAACATAACCAAGACACAGGCCATATTCACCAGGCCGCAGCGCCTGACATCCAATCTGCAAAAGGTTGCAAAAGCAAATCAATGACAGTCTGAGCGGGGCATTCGAAGCGGAGCCTGGTCGAGAAGCGGGTGGCTGACGGACACGGACTCAGAGAAAGCAAGGACTGTGGAGAAGCGTTGCAGGGATTTGCAGGGGAAGGCCAGGTGACAGAGGCGGTCCGGTCGGGAAAATAAAAAACACAAACGATCTCTTCAAATTTGAAGCGAATGGCGGAATGGTGGCTAACAACACAATTTAGAAATTGAGGAACTCGATTTCTTATAGATTGTGCACCTTGAAGGGCTCAAGGGGCTCATTTTTTGGGGGGTTAACGGGCGTGCCGAACGAGAAAGCTTAGACACTAGATAGGCTTCAATGTTCGGGGGCCCTTCGTACTACGCGGAGCTTTGCTCGAGGGCTCAAAAGACATATATTAGCTCTTGCAAGGCGCACGCCAAAGTGCTTAAGCGGTAAGGTCTCGCTCTTGAAGGCCTCCATCTCAAGGGGTCGCTTCAGCGAAGGCCCCTTTAAAGGCCCCCAAGTCAAGAATTCGAGGGGCTAGATTCCCGATATTCAATTAATCGAGGACGGGCTCCATCTCTTAATGTGGAGGGTTCCGGGCGTGCTGATCTTGGAGCCCTTTCAAACTAGACTTGAAGAAATCTGCGTTAAGAAATCCAGGGCTTGTCATAATCGCATGTCGAAATCGAGCACTGTGCACCCTAAGCAAGCATCACCATGAGTTCTCTCTGCACGGGCAACTCTCTCTGAAATCCCGCTTGGTTATGCCTCGTTTACATCGGCGTGCCTGCTGTTGTGTTGCCATGGTAAACAGTTTTTTGGGGTGTCGAACCTGTGGAAGGTCACTGAGTCACTGAACATACCTATGCACGGCCACGGGGACTTAGCCCGAATTTCCACAAGGCGTCGTGCGGCTGAGTGGAGCGCCCCGACAGGCCCGAAGCCAACCCCCGGCGTTCCGAAGGCCCATGTTTCATCTGTGCCTGCAAAAAAAAGCAAGCTGCCGCAACAGCGATCACAATCCGCACTGGCCCCAAGGAAGTCCTGAAGCCCTTGGCAACTGGTTTGAGCAAAGAAAATCCACAGTCTCAGGCCTTAGCTTTGATTACAGCTCTTGCAACACCCGTCGTCGATGGCAGCAACTGTGCACGCAGGTGGTTCCCTTTTGCTTGTCGTGATATCGGCTCGAATCACGTCAGGCTTGGCGAATCGTGTCAAACGTCCGCACAGCCACCCTTGATGGCTCCATCGACGTCGTTGCGGCACATTGCATACGTGACGTTCCAATAGCACCTGGTCTCATGTGCACAAGTCCACACTCGGGTTACTTCCTCGTGTGTTCAAGCAACGCGCACTTGGAGTCTCATTTCAAGCCCCGAATTTACAGCACTCTAAGGTCGAGGCAACACGATGAAAGTGGACTCGATGGACATGACCGTTCCATCGGAGGCGTTCACCTCGCTGCTGTTCTGGTGCCTGGGCGAGCACTCAGCCAACAGAATTAGAAAGGGATGCAACAGAAGATAGAAGTCTCACGGGCTGAGGGTGACCCGCACGCTTTCAGGGATGTCGCTTGTTCCTGGCCATGCTGCTTTACGAACTTCTTCTCGCAGACATCCTCCGCAAAATCGTTGCCTGACTGTGAGCCGGATAGTGCCATGTGCGACAATTCGAGAATTCAACTCAAAGTTTTCCAAGCCAAGCAGCAATACTCCTCTTCACCCAGCTTCGTCATGCTTCGCACTTTGTCGCACTTCGAGCTTTCACAGCAGACCTCGTCCCATGCGTCTTCAGTGAATTACAAGGGTTTTTCAAAGGCTGATTTTGATGAGGGCTAGAGAAGGTTCCAGGAGGGCTTGTGAGAGTTTTGGAAGTGTTGACAGAGTTCTGAACGGGTTCAAGTGAATTACTTTCGAGATGCCTTTTCTCAAACTGAAGCGTCAAGTCTCCTTTTCGAACCCTGCTTGAAGTCGAATTTGAGAAGCCCCACCCTCCCTAGCCTGCAAAAAACACAGGTGCGCCTGTGCGTCGACCATCCCAGTTCCGATAGAAAACGGTTCTCCTGTCTTTTTTCGGCCCGCGTTTTCACCACCCCACCATTCCCCCTCCCACCTGCGCGCGTTTCCGGCGCTCCGTTCCGCCGTGCATAATCGCTTCGCCCTGCCTTTTGTCCTGGCAACACATGGCACCACCCCCTTCCCCTCGACCTTTTTTGAAGTGGTTGACCCTGCAATTCTATCATGTACAGTAGCATATGTGCGCGTTTTCCCTCCCCCTCCTCCCCTTCTCCCTCCCTCCCAAGTCCAATCTGAGAAGCCCGTTCTCAAGCACTTCTTTCATAAGTGTTCCCAACAAGTCGCGCGTGTGATATTCGGAAGATGGTGTTGTTTGCAAGACGCAGGAATGAGAGGGAAGACGGCCGAAAGGAAGGAAGAGAGGGGGAGGAAACGTAGAAATTCCGAAAAAACCTATAAATCACTTATCAACCCATCATAGATCCCGTCTTCTCAAAAACAGTCGCAACCGCCTTATATTATGATCCTTGACAAACTTTCTTGTGGGATATGCATCCCTGGTTCTAATCCATTATAATCCGACGTGAATTGCTTGTTTGGTGCCGAAAATAAAGCCAGGCAGGAAGAGCATAAGGCTTAGGAGAGGTGTCGATGACCGACGATGAGGTGCAGGCAGACTGGCGGCCTCCCAACCCCCTCGCTGAAGCCAAGCCTTGTGTACGACCCTCTAAACCTGTAAACCTTGAAGCCCTCATGAACCGGCCTCTAGACCCTCGTTGAAATACTTCCCTGTCAAGCCCCTGGAAACCATGCCTACACTGCCTGCACCTTACTTCCCTCCTTGGTTTTCTCATTCCTTACTTCCTTCCTGCGCTGCCCCTCCTCAAAGTAGCCACCAAAGACAGAAACACAAAAACAGACAAATATCGACTGATATCAAGATCAAATACCACTATTTTGTTGGGGGCAAGCTGTCCACAATAGCCGACCCGAAGTTCAGGACAGAGGCAAGTTTCGAAGGAAGAACAGATTGCGAAGTTCATGTTTGGCATCAGCCGTGCTTGGCGTCAGGCGGCGAGCAGTCGGCCCCTCTTGAAGAGTTTCACAGACGTGGAGGACGCAGTACGAATGTCAAGGCCTCGTCACTGGCTCCAGGAATCTTGGCAGCATCCGGGACGAGCATGAGCTTTTTGGCAGGGCTGCATGTGTAGTCGCTGCAAGCCTCACCGTACCGCACAAGCACGACAAGCTTGAACGCACGTAACATCGACCTTCACACGTTCACTATGCACCGTCATGCCCGGATGTTTTCATGAGAAACTTGGTGCCCCACGGCCACGCAGCACGTGCTGCTATCATCACCCTCTATGCCGTCCTTCTCATTCCTGCGCGAGCTTCTGACATCTCTCAAGACAGCTTATTGAAGCAGTCATCATACTTCCGCTTCCGGTCCCGGGAGCTGGAAGCCAACCCTCTGTGGCGTTGCAAGTAAAACGTTTGCATGTAGCTTTGCAGCACTGCGTCACGTTGTCACCTTCAGCGAGCAGTGAGGGTTGTGAGCAGGGCGGCTCAGAGACGCGCTCTGGTCTAGATGAACCCTACCCCACAATTGGTTCCCTCAGTTCCTGAGCCTCCGGCCGATGTCGTTCGCCATGGATTTCGAGGCTGTCCAACCGTCTTCCACTGGGCACTCAAACTGCTTGCAGGTCTTTGCGCAGCAAGCCTCAACTCAGTTGCACTTTGCAGAGGTGTCGATGCGTGTGCAGGTGACCACTGGCGTTGCTGGCGCCTCGTCGGAATCAGCAAAATCATCTGCCTGCAGCTGACGCAATGCTTGCTTAAGCTGTGGGTGGTTCTCCTTCGCTTGTGACAATGAGAAAGCGGTCCTCGGTCAATACCTTTCTGCTGTACTTCCGCAATTCTGCTTGCACTGATGCCCTTCCGCACCATTTTGGAAGCACTGTTTCAGCACATGTTGGCACGTGGGTTAACGATTAACATCAGAACGGTCTGCCACTGCATTTTTTTGCGCTGCCTGGCTTTCTGCCTTCTTTCACGGAGATTAATTTTGTCTGCATGTGGGCGAAGCTTGATGTGGCTGCCTGTAAACCTTCAAGCACGATTACGTTCAAGAGCTGTGCATTTGGGGGATGTCGAATGCACGGCTTCGGAGAAAGCTGTCCGGCCGTTGTCTACAAAGCCTGCCGGTGCTCAGGTGCCATCTCTTCAGTCATCCTTTATACCCTTGTGCCGTGCTGACTCTGTGCTTCTTTCCTATTGCATTGCCAGACGAACATGCTCTGCATGCGATGACACGGATGGCCTTCGAGATGTCGCGCGTCCAGCCATCGGCAGCGCTGCACTGATGAGATTTGCACTGCTTCTGGCAGCAGCCCTGCGTTTGAGCGGGATGCACAAGCAAATACAACGACAGAAACGATACAAAGCGACAGAAACCCACCGAAATGTCTGTCCGATCTGTCAGGGCGCCTCTACGCCACCGGTTTTATTCACATCTTCTGGCTTCACAGCAGTGCCAGCTGGGCAGACCACTTGGGCATCGTTGCCACACAAGGGTGCGCAACACTCCTGCAAGAGTGCTGCACAGCGGTGCAGTACCATTGTAATGCAGCAGTATCTGCAGTTTCAGAACCCGCATGGCTTCCGCATTGTCCTCCACAGTGTTGCCGACAAGCAGAGCCTTGCTCCTGTTCTCCGTCCAGCCAGGGGCTGAGCAGTTTACAGCTGCACCTTTGCTGAGAGGACTGTCTTTCAAGGCTCACTTCTAACCATATCGCTTTGATTCTAGGCTCGAGGCAGGTTTGGTCACAGCAGTCCTGTCCACTTGAGCAAACGACCGGAAACCTTTGTGGAGAACCGCCGGAAAGCTAGCCAGTGCAGTCCTCTGCGCTGCTTGACACCTTGATGACGCCAGAGCAACTTGTGATTTCTGAAAACACCGCGCCAACCCGCAGGTATGAGACGTACGAGGTGCTCTGCTGTGCTTGGCAGGTGACCTTGAGATGCCTTGACAAACCTGTTACCTGGTAGCTGAGGTTAAGGGTCCGACCGCGTGCCTACAAAAAACAAACAGCCCCTCGTGCAATCCAGAGACCATGCCGCTAGTCACGAGGTGAAAGAAGTTCCCGGACGACCTAGTCCTACTTTCACTACGACTACGACGACGACTACTACTACTGCTAGGCTACTAATTTCTACTAATTACTACTGCTGCGACTACTACTACTACTACTACTACTACGACTACTACCACTACTACTACTACTACTACTACTACGACGACTACTACGACTACTACTGCTGCTNNCTACTGCTACTCCTACTACTTCTACTACTACTACTACTACTACTACTCCTGCTGCTGCTGCTACTACTACTACGACCACCACCAACAACAACAACTACTACAACTACAACAACAACAACTACTACTACTACTACTACTCCTCCTGCTGCTGCTGCTACTACTACTACCACCACCACCACCAACAACTACTACTACTACGATTGAAACAACAACCACAACCACAACCAAAACAACAACAACAACAACTACTACTACTACTAATACTACTACTACAACTACAACTACAACTACAACTACAACTTCTACTACTACTACTACTACTACTACTACTACTATAACTACAACTACAACAGCTACAAAAACAACTACTACAACTACAACTACAATCAACAACAACAACAACTACAACAACTACAACTACAACTACAACAACAACAACTAGTACTACTACCACCACTACTACTACTACTACTACTGCTGCTGCTGCTGCTGCTGCTACTACTGCTGCCGCTGCTGCCGCTGCTGGTACTGCTACTGCTACTGATACTGCTACTGCTACTGCTACTACTGCTACTCCTACTACGACGACGACGACTACTACTACTACTACTACTAATACTACTACTACAACTACAACTACAACTACAACTACAACTTCTACTACTACTACTACTACTATAACTACAACTACAACAGCTACAAAAACAACTACTACAACTACAACTACAATCAACAACAACAACAACAACAACCACAGCAACAACAACCACAACCACAACCACAACCAACAACAACAACAACAACAACTACAACTACAACAACTACTACTACTACTACCACCACTACTACTACTACTACTACTACTACTACTACAACTACTACAATAACTACAACTACAACAACTACAACAACAACAACCACAGCAACAACAACCACAACCACAACCACAACCAACAACAACAACAACAACAACTACAACTACAACTACAACTACAACTACAACTACCACTACAACTACCACTACCACTACCACTACCACTACTACCACTACTACTACTACTACTACTACTACTACTACTCCTGCTCCACTCCTACTCCTACTCCTACTACTACTACTACTACTACGACGACGACTACTACTACTACGGCGACTACTGTGCTGCTACGACTACGACTACGAGCACGGCGGTGTTTTAGCGACAATGGTGCCAACAACGACGTAGCAACTCAGCACTACCACATACTACCACCGCCGTTGACTGACAACAACGAAATTCACTTCTCGGCTCGCCGGGATTGTGTCCCCTTCGCCGGACTATGCCGGAGTGCTTGCTGGGAATCCAGGGGCGGCATGTTGGGGTTCACGGCGGACAGTGCTTCATGTTGGGCCGGTCAGATCTTCAGATCTCGGTTGTCCGTCATTTCCCCAGGTGGCCGCATTTTCAGGTGGCACTGAAGGGCACTGCCACTGCCTAGTCACTCAAGCTAGGATCCAAGGCGATGCGGACGAGGCACGACTTCCTTCTTGGCATCGCTCGGGGCCCAAGGAGCTGTGCATTCAAAGAGCGAGCACTTCGGCTTGCAGCACTCCTGTACGCTTGCAGCTGCTTGAAAATTGGCTTAATCATGTTGTTCGCACACGTGCCTGAACGATGCTGCATCTGTGTGCCATTGGCAAGTCCATTGGGCATGTGCAGTACTCGCTCCTCCCTGCTGACGCCAGGTGCTGTTGCATCCGCCAAAACATATCCAGCATCGCACTCGAAATCTGACCTTGGGAATCCGCCCTGCGGCTGCAACGCTTTTATTTACCATGATGGGCGTCTGACCCGCACATCTTGTCGCAGCACACCTGCGGAGAATCTCCAACGTTGCCCCAGTAGGCCTGCATGCCCAAACATGCAGCTGAGAGCACTTCTCCGTTATAATCGAGATCAATGCTCGAGTCACAGGGACCTCGTTGGAGCGGTAGACTCCTGTGCACCGGAAAAGCTCGCAGCTTTTCTCCTGTGTCAGGCAGAGTCAACCACATCAGGTGAGCCACAACATCTTAAAATGACACAGCCACAAAGGCCGCTGCGCTTCAGAATCCGAGGCTTCGGCACAGCAGTCTGCCACCGTGTGGCCGGTCAAGCTGTGGTGGTTGAGTTTTGGTCTCCACGCTCGCGGACACCTGTTGTGCCACAACGTACCATACCAGAAGGACCACATCTAAGGTGCTTATTTTGGCTTCAAGTCGGCATAGATGCGGAAAACAAGGATCCGGCTGCAACCTGTCGCATGTCTGCGCGGCAGCAACTTCGGAGAAGGCCTCCCAACTGTGAGATGCAACTTTCATCGCTAGCCTCTTCTAGCCGTCACAGTAGAGTTTCTCGCGTACTCTGAATGCGTGCAAGTGGTGGCGACAGTGGCAGTTGTTGTGTCGGCGGTAGCGATGGGGATTGTGCAGTGGCATTGCTGCACGGTCACGGCATGGAAGTACGTGAAGTTCCATGCTTGATATGCCTGTTGCTGCCGTGTAGGACATGACTATGTTGAAGTGGTTAGCCTTCCCGGTGCCAGCGCTGCGAAGAGTCAGTTTCTTGGCCAAGGCAACGGTGAGCAGGGCGGCGCACTGGAGGAACTTCATTACAATCCTTGGTCCAATCAGGCACAGCCCAGGCGCACGCCTTTACTCAAAGTGTTTGTGTCGCTTAAGCAGCTCAGGCCGTGGCCAATCGAGAGCACAGTCTGCCGGCGAAGGTGCTTTTCTGCTACACCGGATGGACTGTCCCTTCTGATGAAAACGGCAGCAGCGAAGAACTGGATCAACAATCTAGCCATTGCTGGGACTGGGCACGCGGAACTGCTGGCATAAAATATAAGATGGCGACTTGAGGATTCTCCTTCCTTCCAGTTCTCCCTGACCGGGCTGCATGAGCATGGCTCGGTCCTCTGAGTCCAGAAAAGAGCCGGGGCAGAGCCTTCCCCAGGAGCATGAGACAGAAGCGGGCGTAGTCCTGTCTTTAAACGCACCGGGCAAAAGCAAAACCGGAAGCCGAGGCCCTGCCAAGGCCGGAACGGCAGCCGTGCTGACCATACCGCCGGTCATGGAGTCAACGCTTCCGCCGCCTCCAAGGTGCATCGGTCTTGAAGCCCGCACAAATTACGTCGGACCGGAGTACTTTCACGAGCCTGACAGAATCGGACTTGCATTGCCGACCATCCATCTCAGTGGAGACGTTCACATTAACTATTCATGCACAACGCTTGGCACGAATTACCATCACATGCCACATGATGGCAGCAATGCAGCACTCCCAAACTGATGCCGACATTGCATGACAGATATTGACAGACAAGCTGAACTACGCTGCAAGAGAAACCAACTGTTGCGCTTTGTGCACGAAGCCGCGTACCAGGAGCTTCGGTCGAGCATCCTTCGCACTTTGCTTTTCCTGTCTGTGACGCTTCTTCTTCCATGTTTGTCCTCTTCTCGTGTCTGTTGTTTTCATCCTCCCATCAGTCATATGATTCTCCTGTCCTGAGCTACTTATACCTTCGTGCACGATGAATGAAACTTATGTAGTCCTGGGCTGCACGTTTGTTGCTTTCGATTACTTCAATGTGCGGATGGCTCAAGCTGGCACAACGCTCGGTGATACTCGATACTACGGAAGATTCACTCGATGTGCCAAACCTGGCAGACCAACTTCCGCTGCTGTACAAGGCTGTGCTTTGAAGACACCTAACGCAAGCAAGCAAGCTAAGGGGATGGTAAGGTTCGCACTCATTGCTCTCCACACTCGGTGCATCCTTGGCTCGCTATGTTGAGGCTGAGCTGGGTAACAGAAAGGCATGAGCCGCTTCGAAGCGGCAAGATCTTAGATTCCTGCAATCCGCACCAGCTTCGGCTTCGTCTCTCCATCTTGCTCATGGAGGCGGTACCTTTTCAGGCCACCAATCGCTAATTCGGCAAGGCAGTGGTATCTCTGTTAAGGGATGGGCATTGCAGCAGTGCGGTGCCACCTTTGCTGGCAGCTGGGCTCGGGGCGGAGGGAGGGGGAGTTTGAAGGCGAAAGAGAGACGCAAAGCGAGATAGAGAGGGAGGAGGGAGAGAGAGAGCGAGAGAGAGAGAGAGAGTGAGAGAGAGAGAGAACGACCTGCAGATTTGCGGCCCTCGGCACTGTTCCAAAAGGTTGAGATCGATGCAATAGAAACCGTCCGATGCTCTGTTGTCTTGTCAGGCTGTACGCAGCGATGCTTCTAATCCTGATGCACAATGAAATTTTGGCTGCCCTGTGCAGCTTGTTGTGGGTGCCGGTTACTGGCTCAAGAATGAAGACTTGGCTTTGCGTGGGCGTCAGCACTGCATGGTGCATAGCGCTCTGAGAATCGCAAACTGCAGCCCAAGCGCTTGTCACGTGGAATCTGGAATCCGGAGTCCACCTCGGCATCTCTCAGGAACCCAGAAGGCTCTGTGAAGCACCACAAACCAACTTCGTGCCTTTGGCGTACCATCCCCAAAGGTTGCGTTATTCGCTCCTCGATGAAGGTGTCAAGTCTTGTTCTGGTAACGACCTTGTCGCCACTCAAATCATGTGTTAGCAGCATTTGTGCACGCCTACGTCAGAATCACTGGGAAACAAACGGTGCACCGACTCCCACTTCGCTCTCCGGTGTCCGCATTTGTACAGTTGATCTTGATACGAACATCTAAGTACTGACGTCTCTCACCATGCTTCGGCATCATGCCAAGCCCTGTTTATGTACGCCTGTATCGAACGATACATGCCGGGGGTGTGTAACGATGTTGCCGCCGATATTTGTTGCCACTGTCACTATAAAACTTACGGCATGTCCACGGACATGGCACGAACGTTAAGGATGATGGAAGCTGGATTGGTGCACGATTTTGCGCCATTATCGTAGCCCACGGTCGTTTCGAGACTATGCGGTAACGGCGTGATTCGAGACATCTGGTTGCAAGATGATGCCAGCTTCCTCCATTGGTCCCTCAAACGTAGTACAAAGTGCTTTCAGTTGCTGAGCGGGTTAAGCCTGGCAACTCGGACTCACTGTTTCGAGGAACACAAGGCCCCAATGAACATACAGGACAGCTGAGACAGGCTGGCCAAGTGCTGCTGCGATGTGCTTCTTCTCGCTTTCTGCTGGATCGCTCTCGCATTTTTCTCAGCCAGCATGTCACTACACCGACGCCAGCAAGGCGTGGTTTCCAATGTGCTGATTCATTGTGGCCCCTGTCCGCCAACGAATGCCACTGACTTTGACACTCTCCGCCTCCTGCAAGTAAAACTCACCACAGCGCCGTGCATGTGGGAAATCATGCACTTACAATTACAGTCCCGTGCGTGTTTCCGCTCTCAGATCTCTCAAAGTGTCTGCAGTCGTTGCAGGCACGAACTATTCGGCCTCTCGGTCTCTTCTTTCTAATCGCTTCCCAAAAAACCTGCTGTTCCGTATGTGGCCTTTACGTGTGCTTCTTAGGGTCTACACAGGCCATCTTTTGTGTCCTGTCTAGCTTTGCATTCAGCACAACCGGAAACTGCACCTTGTAACAACAAGCCGAATTGATTGGTGGTCTCCATCACTCCGGCTGCAGCAACGTCCCAAAGGAAATTTCTTCACGGCCTCCACCAAGAAGCTTTCTCGTCCACAGCTCTGAGGATTTGCAACCCTAAGGTCCAAGGTAACTAACTATTCGTCCAAAATTTCCAAAGCACGGGGCAATACTGGGCACGAGCACTTGGCACGATCATGCACGACATGCCGCAAACAAGAGCAACAAGAAAGCAGAATGTCAGAACTCTCACTGTCACAACAAAGTGCAAATAAGTGCAGCATCGTTTACACTAGTACCACTGCAGCTCGCCTGCTGTGGCCTTTGATGGTCAACCCAGAGACTTGAAGAACAACCCTCGGGAGACCTCGATGATTCTTCCGAGGACATCGTGGCTGTAGGAATAAAACCACCTGCATTGCAACGTCGGAGCTTCTAGTTTCCTTGGACTAGACACGAAGGAAAATGAGAACCTCTGAGGAGCGGGCTCGCTGCCCGGTTGGTGCAGAAGTGGTAGTCTGGCCAACTCTTCGCACCAATGCTCAAGTGATTTCACCTCGACCGCCACAGCATGCAGATGCATGCAGTGTGCACGCCGTCTTCCGAGAAGTCCCTGACTGCACGAGCATCTCCGGGTCTGGTTCTCCCCAGGCCGGCGCGCTCGATCAGCGGGAGGAAGCGCTCCTGCACAGGCACACCAGCACAGCACTTATGACGGGCTGCGATGGGCCTCCGCTTCACAACCAGGCTCGTCGCCCAGCATGGGGCCTACGACGCTCTCAATGCTGAGATTGCTCAAGGTCCACACACACACATGACACGACATGATTGCTCAACCCATGCGCTGGCATAGTGCAATGTCAAAACCCGCAACACCCCACCGGGCCATAGCCAATGCCAGAAGTGTGCGTCAAAAGATGCAACACCTTGGCTCATTCAGACAATGCTTCCATCGCGGTAGCACAGTCTCCGCAAGGTGCTGTTCGATATGCTGCATGGGCAGCAGGTGCGTGTCCGTCAATGTCGCAAAACTTCGTAGAATGCTTCCTCAGGAGACTGCCGTCACAGGTCTGTCCACTGCCTCTGCCGCAGTTTGGGCCAAACCGTCCTGCAATCACTGAGGCTGATGGAGACCCTACTCCATTGAGTCATATTGAGTCCAAGACCACCTAGATTGCTAGAACCATTGATATTGACTTCGTCGACTTCCCCAGCTACATGAACAATGGAATCACGGGCTTTGACCCAAACATCAACTGTGATTGTACCAGCAGCCTGCCCCCGGTGCTCTCCTCCGACTTGACTTTGGCAGCCGCAAACGCAGGAATGAACCTTCAAGGCAATGCAAAGATGCCCCGAGTACCCAAAGTCAAATCCACGAGAACTTCTCGGATAGCGGGGACGGCGCTTGCACACTGGATCCGTAAGCTGCACCAGACCCTCCTGGACAACGCCGATGTTCTCGCTGCAGCTGAGCTCTGCGACTAGTCGCGGAAGTCGCTGCCTCCATGCAGATGCCCAATGCCTCTGCTGCAAGGCATTTTGAAGCCCTTGAAGCTGTCAGAACTATTCCGTGCACGCATCATGTGTTAACCAGTTCCAAGCGGCCACAGATATGATGGACTTCGTCATAGAATACAAACGGACAATCGTGTCTGGCCGCATAGGAACCTGCCACAAGCAGATGTAACACGGTGGACCTCAGTAGGCACCGAAACCTCAATGCCTGGCGTTCCAGGTCGGCGTATCCATATGAGTCCATGTGTGCCAAAATACCGTGCCTCGAACAATCTAGTTTATGCACTTGAACAACGTAACAGCCACTCGTACATGCTGAACCAGCCAGGCCCACCTCAGGACAACACCTGGCATAATCAGCACAGTCTGCAACATAGGCCATGGGCGCCACCGCAAGATAACCAAGTGAGTCAGGGGAGAAGAGATGCCAACTCCGGAGTGCAGCAGAACGACTCGCTGCGGGCTGCGATAGAAAAAATATTTGTAACTTTATTTGTGTGTATAATTGTAAACCTGAAGCTGAATCCGGTGAATAAATTGCAACGGTACAGTAACAGGATGTTTTTGTGCCTCGCCAAAAGTTGCATTTGGCTTAGACACGGTGGCGGAACTGCCGGTAGCGATGGTGTGTACAAAATCAAACTCGCCCGACGGATCAACCGCTGGTTTGCGGTACACTGTACGCTCTACTGTGCATGCCGCCAAGTGAGCTTGCAAACTCTTCGCAACCATGGCCGCTAACTGGATCCCGTTATTCTTGCGTGTCTTGGCTTCGTCCATCGGAACCGAGCAAGTCTTTCAGCACCGGTATTCACCGGTGCTTTGCGTGGAGCGAAATTGGTCTGATGGTGACATCACTGGCAACGGCATTGAAGCGGCGGCAAACCAATGCAACCCTGCGAATATCTGCGAATGTGTGGTGGCCGGTGCCGACTCCACTGAGGATCAGTGACCTTCCGTTAAAGCTGGACGCCTTAGGGGACCGTCGGTGTGCCGCCTGACTAAGGTGCTGCCTTGATGGACTGCGAGGTTGCCTTGAACGCGTTGTGTCATTTGATACTGCTTGTGGTTGCTGGCCCTTCGTGCCCGCAACGATGTGAAGGCTGCTCACGCCGTGGCGTCTCGGTCCAACTGGTGTGGACGCCTTCTCATGGCAAGCATGGCAGCTTGTGCCCCGTAGCCAGCACGAGCGCAAAAAACTGGGAGATGCTGGCAGAAGCGGGAGAGAACTCGGCGACAGAAAATCTGTACAACCTCTCCTCGCCTTTCATGGCAAGCCTCAGGAGATCAGGACAGGTATCCTCCGGAGCCCGAAAGGGCTTCGTCAAATGAGTTATGATGTGTTCGAGAGGGCCAAGCCAGTCACAGTGCCGGTTAGCTTCGATGTGCGGAATCGCTTGGCGCAGTGCCACACGTGCCATCCACTTCCGGCGTAGCCAAAGCAACACGCGGCTCTTCGGGAGTCATGGCCTTCCGGTGCCTCGAAAGCAAACAGGGTGCCCTGCCTGGGGCATCTGGGGCTTACAGGGCGGGAGCGGCCTACAGTGCCTACAGCTAAACCTTCTTGCGCAAGGATCGGAAGATATGGCTGCAGGCCTGAGTGGTGCTCGTTGTGCTAGTGCTTAAAGACGTCAGCTGAATATCATCATCGATGGAGTACGTTTCCGCTCCCAAATGATGAAAAATAAAACAATTTGCTTTTTAAGTTACAAAGCACAGCTTTATGTTCGAATGTTGTTTCCATTTTCCGGATCTTCGCAGCGCATCCGTGCAGGGGCCCCGATTGCTACAGCTCCCGTTGGAGGACTTGCGTGGCAGGTCCCATAACGGCTACATGGCAGTGTTGTACATTGTGGCCCATCTATATTGGGATAGCACGCCTCGTTGGTCGGATTTGCACAGCTGGGCAGCGCACGTCCAGTGAGAAACACAGCCAGGCATGCGCGGACCACCGAACAGATCTTCGCATGTATGACTCAGGGAAGTATGAGAATGCAAGCTCCTCAAGGACACGACAAACGGTTGCAGGACTTGGGGTCGCACATTTGCAACACTAGAATTTGTGGGGTAAAGTGCGCCCAGCAGTATGGGCAAGGTGTTGGCCTTGACAACAATCGCCATGTCGGCACAAATTTTATGCGGAGTCGCAGCCTCTCGCGATTTTTCGGTGGGCCCCTGCCAGTTCCACCGCCGTGCTTGGCTGGGCGGTCTTGTTGACTTCCGCCTCCACCGATTCCAGAACCTCGCTTAGCTTGTCCGTCTCCACGACCTCGGGCACGCCTCCGCCGGATTCAACGCCACTTTGTTGAAGGCCATCTTTCTGACCCCCGCAAGTCAGCAACCGCACGAGAGTGTTGGTGAGTCTAACCAAAAACCGCATTTTGAAGACATATGGTTGACACATAGCTTACATGGCTGCTGCCGGGAAGCTGATCACGCCTGGAGCTTCCCCTCTGTCTACCTGCACTTCATGATGATGCCACATGTCACTGTGAATCTGTTCGAGAAAGAGCCTTGCGATGCAAGGACAGGTCGGTGTCTCGCATGACCTGCGTTTCTCGCAGAGTGATGCAACATGATGCAACCGTCCCGCCAAAGAACAAAAATGCCTGTGGATGCAAGCCAGCCAGTTTCGGGTAGCACTTGGAATTCGATGCAATTGTGCCCCTCCTGACCTTCAATGTCATGGGCCAGACCCGCATCTCGAGGTGAGAACCGGTGCCTTGGATCCTGTCTCCACTGCAGCCTCGGGAAATCGGTCTCACATTCGCCAAAGCTGGCAAGGCCTGCACCTTCAGTGAGCAAGCACGCAGGGGCGTAGCAACCTGTCTGACCTGCCAGATTGCATCACTTCAGATACGCAGATCAAGCGGAGCACGTTTGACCGTACGTGTCGTTGCCAATTGCAGGGGAGGGGTGGTAGGACAGTTGCCAAGCATGCCAACATTGGCATGTGCTTCAATGTGCCACAAAGCGAATGTGACGCTTGACGTATGCAGCAGCTCGACTCCTGATAGAAGTGGGGGGGGGGGTTCGAGCATCATAGCAGTTGGCTGGGCCTGTTGAGTGCGCACTGTGAAGCAGTGGCACTGGGATGTAGCAAGTGATTGAGGCCGTGCCAACTGCATGCAAGGGACAAAGAGTTAATGGATGCGAAATGACGAGAACGAGAAAGGAAGAGGCTTCACATCACAATCAGAGGCTGCTTTTGCTAAAACGGCTGTCCATGAAGGCAAGACCTCAACACGGCGTTGCATGCTCGCCTTGGACCGGCACTGGGAGGCCACAGCAGTCCTTTCTGTCACAGTGCACAAAGAACTCTACAAAGACATGCCACAAAGACATCTGCGCTTGGGCATCCAGCCGTGACATCGCCTGGCAACAGGACACAGGCGAATGCGAGGGGACATCTCTTTTTCAACAAGCGCTGGCCCCCAGCCTCGGCCTGGCAACGTCGCAACTTGAGCTTCTGAGAGGCCCTTGATGCACGCCAAACCTCAGCTCACACGCCGTTCTGCGCCTGTCTTTAAAGCCCGAACATGAAGGAAATGCCCGATGCCAAAACGAAAAGAGCCTGAACATGCGGACTTGCACAAGCAATGAACACCGAAACAACCGACACATCCAGAAATGAATCAAAACATAAAGGCGGAAAGGACGACCGACACAAAATCCGGAAACGAACAACATATGAACTCAGAACTAACCCGGTCGAAACAACGTGAAACAACCGTCCGGTATGTGGCCTCTGAGGTGCAAGAGGTCGGCAACTCCCGATTGACTGAAAATTGAATCACTAACATGAAACATGAGTGAGCTTTTATCTTGTGACTGAGATCCTACCCTGTCAGACGCGTCGAAGGCGTTGCACAACGATGCAAACGCCCCCAACACCATCACCAACCACCGGGCAAATCCCAGGAAGCTGTCTTGACATTTCGGAATTCCAGACAAGGTGTCGAGGCCCAAAAGGGAGAGAAATGACAAATAACCAAAAGCTGTGACATGCGTTTGGCAAATTCTCGATATGCCACCTCGACAAGGTGGCATTGCGTTGAAGCTCTTCAAGGGAAAACAAAAAATACACTGCACATCACTGCACGCCATGGCAAGAAGCTCTAGATCGCACTCCTGTGCCTTCTAGCTTCGTCTCAAGGTATCGCGCCAGCCTGCAGAGGAGATGCACTTAATATCACACTGAAAGTACGTGCACGCATGGCAAAGCTGCAGGCAGCATCCGCCTAACGGGACATGGCGTTGTCGTCACCTGACAGCAGAACGAAGTCTTATGTGCTTGCTGCCTCGGCCGAACTGAACGAACCTCGCTGTCTGCCATCACGTGCAGCACACAAATGAATTATGGCTCTCCCGCGTCGCGGCGGAGCTTAATCTGGTTAATTCGATCCTTACGCCCCTATCACCCGTGCAATCCTGTCATGTTGTTACACACTGGCGTTTTCAGATGGCTCTCCAAGCAGGTGTGTTCCACACCTGCTCGGCACGAAACCTGCTTAAATGGCTGCTGCATGCACTGCACTGAATGCTATTGGCACGACCGGAACGGACAGAGGCGATTTTCTGTCAAAAGGCCAGAGCGTTGACGAGGTGGCAAACAGACGACATAGAAAGCATCCGACGTTGAATTGTACCAGATGCGTATCGTAGTCAGAGATCTTCTTTCTTTGTCAGCAAGACCTCTGCAGGAAGGTTTCCGCTGAGCGCATCTGTGAAGTAATCAGGGGCCTTTCTGGAGGCGTGCGCCTTTTTCACAGAGCCTGCAGGGGGTTGAGACGGCAGACTCGCTCTGCAGTCGCTTTTGCAGATCTTTCAGATGTGCCTTTTTGATCCGTTCGGGTGGCCACCTGCTGGACCAAGGACCTGGCGCTGCCGGGTTCCCCAAGACATGCCACACACGCGCCTCGGTAGGAGTATCACTTGAGGGCATGGCACAGTGGAGCCCTGTACAGGACGTGACACTCGCAAGCCGCGAACGAAGGCAACTGCTACATGCTCTGGCCTCGATGGACTCAAATCTTCCATCAGACGCAGCTGCTTCCAAGGGCGACTTAGCCAGCGAGCTCAGCGAGCCCCCTCCACTTAAGTCGGGAATGCTCCCAGTCCTGGCACAACGCTTTACCAATTACCAAGGTCTTGCGATATATTGCGATCTCATACTGTCGACATCTGTCGTCACATGCCGCAGACACCCTCGATGATGCAGTTTGGCCGTTGCCTTCCGGCAGTTGCGATGCGGTGTAGCTTCACCACATGTATCAGCGATTTATCGTGGGACACATCTTTAGATGCACGGCGGCCTGAAGCAGGTTCAACGCACCACCGTCGGAACCACGATCTCGCGAAGTGCAAGATAAAGATGCTCAAAACGTCATAACTAGTACTACTCACAGACCGTCCAAACTTGAATGGCTAGTTGCTAGTTCTACCTGCCACGTCAACACGTGCCACTCCAGAGCTCCATCACGAGTGCCTTCAGCGGCCAACTCAGCAAAGAAGGCATCCTCTAGGTCCAAGAAGGCGTCCACAGGCTGCGCAACGTGCCCACTGCGACGCACATGCTGCCATGCCTTCGACATCCTACGACGAGGCCGAGGCCTCGTCCCATGCAACGACTCCAGCTAGGATCATGCCATGTACCAGTGCGATCGCAGCCTGCATGACACAGGCATGCGATGCTCTGCAAGCTCAGGGCGGCCCGTCATGAAGACGCGCACACACACACGCACACAAACGACACAAACACACACACACACACACTCACTCACTCACGCACTGACACTGACACTGACACGTACACTTGTAGAATCCTGCATCTGGCTTGACTGTTCGCTATCCGAAAAATCTACTCTCAGAGGATCTCTGACATAAAGATATACAGCCACGTACGCAATGAACATTGGGAAATCGACTGACAAGCTCTGAATATGTGTCCACCAGTGGGCAATCGGTGGGAGTACATACGATGCCGTTTCTTCCTTCCACGCCCCCCCCTCCCCCCCACAATGGTTCCCACTCCTCTGGTGTGGTGGGTCTGCTTGGGGTGGTTGCCCCC